GACAACAACATTGTTTGGCAGCAACCTGATTAACTAAGCAGCACTGCTTGCTCCATATGGATAGCAGATGAGAAAAGGTGGCCTAAACAAAGCTCATCTCCTATATTTTTCAGATAGGTAAATGGGCCTCTTCTCATGCAGTCAAGTGTCAGTAAAGAAAAAGTTCACACCCACCTGTATGAGTATCAAAGGACTACATGTAGCATGTTGGAACATCAGGACCATGCTGGACATGCCTGACAGTGCTCAGTGCCATTCTGCTCTAATTGCAAATGAATTGTCAAAGAGTCCTATGTGCAATGAAGATGGTCAGATACTCCTTACATTCAAGGCATCCATCCTAAACATTGGTTGGAGCATTTCCAGGCCCTCTTCAGTGTTAATTGCTCAGTCCAGGAACTAGTAATTCTTTGCATTCCCCAACAACCAGTAAAAATGGAACTGGATGAGTTGCCCACCACTGAAGAGACTATCAAAGCCATAAAGCAGCTGAAGTGTGGCAAGGCAGCAGGAGCTGATGGAATCCCACTGGAAGCATGGGGTTTCCAGTGTTGCCTATGAAACTCCACATGCTCTTATGCTGTTGTTGGGAGCAGGGAAAAAATACCACAAGATCTGCACAATGCAGTCATCATTGCCCTGTACAAGAACAAAGGGGGGGGAATCTGACTGCTCCAATTACCAAGGGATTACTCTGATCTACATCACAGGAAAGATCCTTGCAAGAGTTCTGCTGAACAGGCTGGTACCTGCCATCATGGAACAGCACCTTCCAGAGAGTCAGTGCAGATTCAGAACCAACAGGAGCACAACAGACATGGTGTTTGTTTTCTGGCAGCTGCAGAAGAAGTATCAGTAGCAAAACAAGGGGCTTTAGTGGCATTCATTGATCTGATGAAAGCATTTGACAGTGAGCAGAAGAGGAATGTGGCAGGTCATGGGGTGACTCAGCCGTCCTCCAATGTTCCTGAACATGATCATCCAACTGCATGAGGATCAATGTGGCCAAGTTAGACACAACTGTGATCTCTCAGAGCCCTTCTCGATCACTAGTGGTATAAAGCAGGGTTGTGTTCTTCACTACATTTTCAGCATTGACAGTGATTTTGTCCAGTGATAGGTGTATTGCCATATACTAATTGAAATTTCAGGTATGATTCCCAATGAACCCAGTAACGTCTCTGTTGAAAACCAATTTCACAGAACAAACCAACAAATTCTGTTCATAACTAACAATGGGTTTAATCAAAACAAAATAGAAAAATTTATAAGTATATAAAGATTAAGGAATTATTAATCTTCCTATGTTAGCCCTGGTTGATAAATCTTCACTAGGAAAGTTTTCTAGTAGTAATTTGTACAGATATATCTTTGATTCTTGCACTGTATTAAGGCTTGTGTTGGTGGCAAGTGCAAGATTAACAAGATAGTCTGGACTGGGAACAGATTTCTTGTCTTGTCATCTTGTTATTGTTTATTTGTCTTGGCTGTCCATTGTGTTAATGTAAGGAAATTTGCTCAGCCTTGGCATTGATTTATTGCATATTATTTGATAAGATATTCATATCTTCTTTGTTCAGACCAAAACATAAGCATGAATTTAGGTAACAAAATTATCACTTTGGACAGTTAGTATTTTGTATAAACAAACCAAGTCTTCTTTGGAATTTTGGAAATTACAGAAGACCATAAATCTTGTTATATTTGACTGCTAGATGGGTTGGAGAAGATCTGGTCTAATTAAATCTTAATGAATTCTACTTGATTTAGGTTTTAATCTTCTTACAGTCTTCTCCAAACTCATTTTATGGTTCTCAAGGACACATACCTGGTTAAGGCAGTGGAGAACTTTGAGAGGGGAATTAACAGGAGATTAGACATGGCATGTGGAACTAGAACAGTCTACCACAGTGAGTGAAATAAAGCGTTCAGTTCAATATTCCAACCACCTGAAGGTCGGAGCATACAACAGCCAAAACGTTGTGATAAACATGTCAAGATGAGGACAATAGTCTGAATAATGTAAATAGTGTCATTTTATGGTTTCTAATTATTTTTAATCTATTTTTTCTTTCCTTATTCTCCTCAACACTTAATGAAATATTTCTTTTACAACAGTTACACAGTTTCTAGATGACAAAAATTGGTAACCAGCCTTTGAAAAAAAATCCAATTTTAGGACTTTTTTGAAAGTTAGGCAACCAACACATTTGACATATCATTTTTTAAAATATCCATTTTGTGTTCATATAATCTTCTATTTAGATTCCTTGAGGTTTCTCCTACGTATTTTTTGTGACAAATATTACAGGTGATGGAATAAACTCCTCCTTAATCAGACTAACCACAAATTTTTTATAAAAATTCTACTCTGATCAAATAATTAACTATGACATAAATGTCAAGAAAGTGCTTTAATCACAAGGTCATCTACAGTAAATTTGTATCTTGGCTCTTAGAACATTTCACCATTCCTGGCAGATCTTCTAATATCACAGTGAGCAAACTTGCACTATCATTTAAACTTGTACTATCAATATTGGTGTTATGGTATTCTTCATCTGGAATTCTGAATTCAACTATCTAAGTTACTTGTCAAACTTTCAAAAAAGACCTAAAATTGGATTTTTTTCCAAGGGATGGTTGCCAATTTTTGTAACTCTTGTAAAACAAATATTTCAATATAGGACTACCAAGGATCAACTTCATATCTTCTTAAAATGCAAATCTATGAAGTGCCAAATTTAGTAAACTGCACTGTTTTGAAATTAGCAAAAACTGGTACCAAATTTCAAGAGGCCATAACTCCTGAACTAAAAGTTTAAGGGAGCTAATATTTTAGGGTTTTTAGTTTTAGTTGGTTCAACATGCTAAAATTTCATCAAAATCTGAGATGGTGCACATAGAACCATTGATTGAGTTGATATGGAATTATATATATATATAATTTACACACACACACACACACACACGCACACATTTATGATGAATAATTAAACACCATATTTCTGCCATAAATCACAAAAAACATGTAAAACATAATATGTTGCAGAAAATGAAAAACTATCAACCTCATTGTCACTAAACAAAATAACCCTATCAAATCTAAACTAGTGATGACCAATATAGTGTATGAATTTCACTACACAGCACAGGACAGTTTCTTATCAATTAGCAATATTGGTCATACCACCATCTCATGTATCCCTTACCTGACCAAAGTGCCATAAAAAGGCACTTAACAACCCACAATTTACAACAACCCATAAGGAAGATTCTGCATCCTATATAGATCTCATAACTGAAAACATCTCACTGTGAGTAAGGCCCTTCACATAAAACATCTGGCACCCAGTATAAATCTCAACTTATTCAGCAGTGGAAATGGTGTGTTGAAGATTTTTTAAAATAGAAAGACACCAACTTGAATTCAACACTTGCTCAACTTATGAGGTTCAGTATAAATGCTACTACTATTTAAATGTCACAAAAATTACATTTTAAACAGACAAACATAAAATTAACAAGAAATTAACAACACTTAACACCAAAATCCACTTTGAAAATGGCTAAAGAAGTGGCTGAAAATGCTTGGGACAATAGACACTACAGACAATTTTTACACTCCATTTTCCCACCAAACAGAAAATTTAAGAATAATAGAAAAACTAAATAAAAAATTCATAAAATTTTCCTTGTCTGTCATATTCAACAAAACATCTAGCTGCCCAAACATACATTAATTAATATATATATATATATATTTAAAATTTTCTATATTTATAGCAGAAGAGTGCTCAATATCAGAGACAGAGCATTTATAGAATTAAACATAAAGTCTTGGTTTGAAGATTAGATTGAGGTGTAAAACTGACAGTCACCATGCAGTGTTGATTTCTTTGTACATACTAACTATCTAATAATCATAATTCATTGATGTAGTTGTAGTCAGCTGCAGTTGGGATTATAGTCATTGTAAAATCTATGATCCTATTGATGGCTGCATATTATGTTTTATAGAAGAGCTATATAAGTTTTTTTTTCAATTCAGTTTTCCTTCTCCTAGACTAAAAGTCCTGTCTATTCTATTTAACCATAGCTGAGAGGAAAATAAATGGATTCATACTTTCTCTATGGTATTTGTGCAAAATTGAATGTAACAAACTTAACTTGAATTCAAACTTAGCTTGCTTATAAAATTTCCAGGCAAATTCTTTTGCCCCTACCCCTGTAATATTTCCTATTTGCCTTACAATATTCTATTGATTATAACTGTTTTTGTCTTTAGTTTTGCAAGCTTATTATTTGAATAGTTGAATTTCTATTTATGTCACATGTGTAACAAAAGAAATAAGATAAAGCAAAGTAAAGGGAATGATAGAAGACCAGTTAAGTTTGTTATAGTAAACAAAAGAGACTTTATTTTAATTTTGGTGATTTGGTCAGTGGCTAAAAAGGAAAAAAACATAAAGGTTTATCAGCAAGAAATTAAACAATACTTCAAAGTAATTTCATTTGAGAGTTGCTGGTTTTTTGTGGTATAGTTTACTTGTCCCATGAATGGTAGTAAATAAACAGCTGTGAAACAGATTTTTACAACTCACTTTGTCAGCCAACTCATTTAGTTTTGGCTCCAATCAATGAAAGCCTAGATGAAGTCTTTGATCTAAATGACTTGAAACTCAGAGATATTTCATTCATAAAAATAGATTCTCTTAGATATGATTTTTAGTGCATTCATGTTGCCTTCTTGGTAATGTTTTTACATTTTTGATTTTGACCAGAATAGAAAATTGTTGTCAGAGACCATGCCTAAAATCCACAGGCAAATGCACTTTAGGCAAGAGATTATATTTAGAAACAACTGAAATATATAGGTATTTTTTTTTCTAAAATGTAATTAAAAATCTAAAATGAAATTATCAGTATTAAGAATTAAATGTGTTAATTACATTTATGTACAAATTGGAAAAGAAAATAATAAAATTTTTAATTTTTAGAATTGCAGGCTGATCTGGAGAAAATATCAACACCAAAGATTTTCATTTTAATCAGTTCTGTTCTCACTTGGGCTAAAACCAAACCTACAGATGCAGTAAGTTTTATGTATATATACTATATTTCCCCTCTCTCTTTATATATATATATATATATATATATATATATATATATAGTGGGTACCAAAAGTATTTAACATCAGTTTTTTATAAATTTCACAGTAAAAAATTGTTCAATTTGAATGATACTTCAAATATCTTAATTAGGTACCTCCAATAATTCACTAAAAACACAATATAGCATGATGATAAAAACCCCAAACTTAATAAAAACAAAGTTTTAACCTTGAGGTTAAAACTTTGTTTTTATTAAGTTTGGGCTTATGCTATTATTAAGAAGAACAAATTGTTTAATTATTTTTTTCAATTTTTTTCCTTCCTTTCTAACACATTCCAAATTTGGCACAAAAATCTCAGTTTTTTTTTGTAAGAATTGTGGTAATTGACATTTTAGAAAATTGTTTTTCCATTTTTTATGAAGCAGTTTCCATTAATTTGGAAATTTTTGCAAAAATCAAATAATTGTCTGATTTTAATGAAACTTTCAGGACTTCTTCAAAAATGAATTAGTTTATTTTTTAAGTTTTTATTTTTAGAAAAACTTGGTAAAAATATTTTTTTACATCTGTTACAAATAACTTAATTTTATGAAATTTTCTATAATTTGAAACAGTTCACAAATTGTTTTATATTACTTATAAGCAGGACTTCATGGAGAAAGGAAATCATAATTTTTTTCAATGACCAAAAAAATTTTACAAAAATTGCAATAAATTTTTCTTTCTAATTAATTAGGTTTTACTTTTTTTTTATATAAGTTTAAAAAATGTTTTAAAATTCTTCCAAGCAGGGTACAAGGTAGGTTATTAAGTTATTAATTGAATACTATATTTACTAAACAAAAACTAAAATCTTAATACAAATCATACTCCCAAAACTTTTTACCATAATTAAAGATATTTTTGTGCACCAAAATGTTATATTTTTTTTAGTATGATGTATCGTGTTGATATTATAGTTAAAAAGGTTGTGTGTTTCAAAGGTTTTGTCCCCTTAGAGAAAGGTTTTGACATAAAGCTTTTCGGCTGCAAGCAATACTTTCATTTCACTTCCGTGTTTCATCATCCCTATGTTTCAGCAGGCTTCTTTTTAAATCTTGAAAGGATGATTTCTAAAGTTTTTTTTTCCTATTTCACTAGATATTTTTAATTTTGCTATGTATTCATCTTACTTTATAGTGTGTATATTTTTTCATAGTGTGTTGTCATGCATAATTTGTTTTTAGTTTATTTTTAAGTTTCTTTTTTTACAAGTTAAATAAAATAACTTTAACAAAAATAATTTGTTTTTATAATAAAGAATATAAATATTTACCTCAGTTTTTAAAAATTTTAACTGAGAGTGAGTTAAATTAAAATAACTTTAACAATTAATTAAAAATTATATTATCAAAGTTATCAATTTAAAATTTAATAATAAAGAAGTTATAAATATATTAGTTTCTAAATTGAGATAAAAAAAATTAATTTAAATAATTAATAACTGAGTGAGATAATTTAAATTAATTTAATAATTTTTTAATTTTATCTCAGTTATTAAATTAAAATGTGATAATATAATGTAATATTAATAATTAATAAAATTATCTATATTATCTTAGCTATTAAATAATGAAATACCATTATAGAAACTCAATAATTAAGAAATTTTTATAGTATTTTAAATTATTATAAGAAACAAAAAATGTTTATTAAATTCATAAAATTATGTCAATTTTGCATCATATAAATAAAACATATTTAGCCATCAAATTATTTATCATTTTAAACAATTAATAGGTCAAGAAGTGAGAAAATTTTAATTTAAGTAAGTGATATTTGTTTCATTTTATTAATAATTTTATTTAATTTATTTTAGTTTCAAAAGTTTCAGAAATGTTTATTTTATTTTAGCAGGATTTTCAAAAATGAAAAAATAATTTTAGTTTATTAAAAAATTAAAAATGTCTGTTTAATTGTTTTTTAATTTAAAATCATTCAAATATTTGAAAATAAGTTAAAAAAATCCTTTATTTCAATTCTGGGGAAATCAAAATGGATTTTTCCTTTATGAAAATACATTTAAATTAAATACCAAATTTTTAGAAATACCTAATTTTAATGGGCATTGTCTAACTAAACATAAAGGAAAATTGAGAAATGTTGTTTTTACATACTTTTATTGCCAATTTTTCAATTTGACTGTGTGCAAAAGTAAACAAAAAAAGGCTATCCTCTGTTCTGTCTTAGCCTTGAGTCATTTTCTGTAGTTTTCAATGAGCTTCTTGCATGAAGATTTTAGCAGTTTCACCCATTCTTCTTTACAGGTTATCTTCAGTTCCTTGATATTTTTTTGATCTGTTGCGTGTACTCTCAACTTCAGTTTTTTTGATAAATTTTCTATTGGAATGGTGACTGGCTAGGCCAAAATCAATTCCAATTGAACCAGTGTTGAGTTGTTTTTTTGCCATGTCAAGATTGTTGTCCTGTTGGAACACAAAATCTCTGTCAAGTCCCAAACCTGTTGCACTTTTTAATAGATGGGTTGATGAGATTTGCTTGTCTTTTGCTGCATTCATTCTTCCTTTGATGACTTCCATTTCTCCTACTCCATTATATGAAAAACAACCCCAAATCATTACACTTCCACCCCCATATTTGATTGTTGGGATGGTGTTTACTGGGTTGTATTCAGTTCCTTCTTTCCTTCATACTTGGGTGCACATGTTTCTCCTGAAAAGCTCAATTTTTATTTCATCTGATCAAATAACTTTTTTCCAGAATTCATCTGATTCAAGTTCATTTTTTTAACAAATTTCAAGCGGTCTTGCACATGTTTATGTTTTAGTAGTGGAGTCTTTCTTGGTGATCTAGAATACAACAGGCCTGTATGATTCAGTGATCTCTTAATTGTATCTTTACTTACTTCAATTTTGGCATTTTTCAGTGTTCTGAATTTTTCTTTGAGTCAAAAATGGTTGTTTCTTCACATTCCGGGCTATATATCATTAAGTAGCCTTGTTTAATTTATGTGGACAGCCACTCATTTGAATATTTTCAGTAGTATCATATTTTTCCACTTTTGTATTTCTGTACACACAAGTAAATTTAAATCTTGAGTAACTTTTCAATGCTCTTTACCATCTTTGTGCACCTTTATAATCTTCTGTTGACTATCATTTAATAATTCTTTTGTTTTAACCATTTTTATAAGTTTAGATAGCAGGACAGTCAATACTGTATCAGGCCTGTTATCACTATGTGCAAGTTGAGTGATATACTTGGAGAATACATATACTGAAGACAATCTGTGACAAACCATATCAAAATAACTGAAAATAGTTTTAAATTACCCTTTTTACTGAAATTATTTGTATAGGTGTTAAATACTTTTGCACACAGTCAAATTCAAAAATCAGAAATAAAAGTATATAAAAACAATATTTCCCAATTTCCCTTTATGTTTAGTTAAACAATGTTCAATAAAATATTTGAAGTAAGTATCATTCAAATTAAACAATTTTTATTGTGAAATTTATAAAAAAACGATGTGTTAAATAATTTTGTTACCCACTGTATATGTGTATGTATGTGTGTGTGTTTATGCGTGTGTGTGTGTATAAAATTTCAGAAAATTTTATCTGTAAAAGGACTATGAACAAAGACAAAAAGAAAACTTATCTTGAACAATGCATTTTGTCCTCTGAGGGACTTTACATTTACCTTGATGAAGTCTTTAAAGGACAAAAAGTATTGGCTAAAATAAGTTTTCCTTTTGTCTTTGTTCATATATATATATATATATATATATATATATAGTTTAAAAATCAGGAGGTCAATTAAAATATGCGACCATGGTTTTGACCTGGCGGTCTCTTCGGGCAATACTTTTAAAATGATCATTTTAACTCTTTCTTTCAAAAAAATCACAAAGAATACTACATAATTATCTTTTAAAAAAAAATAACACGCATATAATGATTGGAAGACAGGACATTGAGTGTAATGGAAGTGGAAAAGAAGGTGAAGGAAAGAATGGAAAGGGACAGGAATGCAGGTGTATAGTAAATGTATACATTAAATAAAAAATCAAATGTGTAACTTAATTGTTATGGAGGATGTGGGAGTGTGGGGGAGGGTCCAGAGTGTCTAAATGTTAACAGTGGTTTTTTTTTTATTTCAGATTTTTTTAACCAGCTTCATATTCACTTAATAAAAATTGTTTTATATGAGGGCAAGGGCTTAAAATTTCTGATTTTTAGTTTAAAAGATTTTTTGGATTCAGGAATGTCATAATTGCTAAATTCTCATATTGGCATAGTTTGCAAAAGCAGGTATAATTGTTATATGTTTTTACCTTTTTTAAAATTGTCCCTGTTATTTTTTCTTTTAAATTCCACATGTGGCTGGCAAGTTTGGAGTATCTATGGTTTGATATCTTAAATGTCAATGTGTGATTGTAACATCTGCATTTGAAAGAGCCTTTCATGCAGCATATATTTGTTTTAATTTGGCCATTTATATTTGTTACTTCTGTTTTATAAATAATAGATTCTGCTTTGCAAGCTCCATTTAATGGGTATCCACAGTTGCATAAATTACTAGTATTATTTTGCTGCATGCTGGTTTTGAGGTCTCTGTTATTTTGTCTTTTTATTATTGTATCTAAATTACTTGTGCAGCTGTAACTTAATTTGACTGTATTTTTATTGAATATCTTATGTAGTTCTGAATTTTTGGGGAAGTGTTTAGAAAGCAACTTGAAAAATAATTTACCTATATTACATTTCACCTCTAAGTTAAAAGGGCAGGGTGTTAAACCAAATAATATTTTTTCTTTTCCTCGAAATGGCTTTCGTATGGTGTTTAATGTGTTGAGGTTTAAATTCTAGCTTTGCTTTGTTGCCCTCTGTTTATCTCATATTCTTTCTTTTTTTCCTCAAAAATTGTCTTACAAGAAGAGTTTTTGGATAGCCTAGACTCTATTCCATTGGGGATACATTTAATTATATTTAGTGGGGAGGTTGGATTTAATATTTATGTATCTTAACTTTGCATTAGGTTTTATGTACACTGCAGTGAGAAGGTTTAATTCAACATCCAGATAGTTAACAATTTTTTTTATTTAGGTCGACTTTTATTTCAAAGCCGGGGTTTTTAAAGAGCTTAAATAGTGTCATTGGTTCTTTTGTTGTTTGGTGCTATCATTAGGCCGTCATCCCTATATAGACTGTGGTTGTTTATATGGACGATCTTGCTGATTTCATATAAAATATGCAGACCTATTAGTTCAGAAATTTCAGCGCCATCAAAAGAAACTTGTGGTACATCAAATTCGTCTTTTTTCAATTTTTTAATCCCGGTTGTTCTGTTGTGGAACAAAATGGATTTACGGCAATGTAAAATTATTTTCATTTGGCTTGGTGTTATTTCTACAAAGCCTTTGGTGAAATGTGGAGCCCCCAGTAGACATTTTTCTGATATAGATTGATAGAAGTTCTTAATGTCATATTTTATGAATAAATGTTTATTTTTATTGTTGATTTTATGGAACCAAGAAATGCCCTCACTTGTATCCTTCCACTGATTTGCTTGCATGGCAATTCTTAATGAGTCGCATATATTTTTCAAAATTTCTTGGCTTATTTTACCTAGTTCAGTTTTGGTAGGATTTATGAGATGAAAAGGAGTGTTAGGGAATTCTTCCATGTAGTCCTTTATGGTAAGAAAAGCTTGCTTACAGTTAATTACATTTTTATTTTATTTTAATTATTTTTCTCTGGCTTTTTTTAATAATACTTAATAATTAATTTAATAATATAAAAGTTCAAAATTTATTTTGTATTCTATTTGATATTGTAAAGTTGGTTTTGCTAAGTATTGTATTGCTTCTTAAAGTATCCTTTTTTACATTCTGTGAATAATTTTATTTGAATATATGACTTCATATACAAATGTCATAGAATTATAAATGCAACATGTTGATACAGTGTATCCATTCATGCCACATTTCCATTCAAATTTGAATTCTCTGATTTAACAATTTCATTGGTTTAATTTATATCAGCATTTTTCTATTTCATATCTTCTTGAGTTTCCTCTTCTTATGAATCTGGGTAATTTTGAATATACTTCTCTGTTTCACTTGCCTTTTTTTTGTCTTTTCTCTTGATAGTAGGGTTAATTTCCTATGCATTCTCTTGATTTTTTTTTCTTTTTCTTTTTCTTTCCTCATTCCCTTTTTTTATCTTTCCTTTTTCTTTATATAATCCCTTTTTACCTTTTATGGAAAATTTTCCAAAAATTAATAAACACACACAATAATCCATATTTTTTTAAGAATGTTCTATTCAAGAAATAAACTGTAGATAAAGATAAATAATGATTAAAAACAAAATTTTTCAAATGATATCAAGAAGAGTATCATAGTTACAAAGAATTCCTTTATTTGTTTTATATTTGTCTCTTGAAGTAGTTCCAGGCAGATATGAGCTTACATCCTATATCATATGCATCAAGAGCTATGTTAGAAACAAAAAATATGTTACACACAAATTTAGAAAGAAGCCATAGATATAACCAGGATATGTGAACTATTTCATAGGACTGGAACTGAAATGGCCTATAAACTACTTGTACAACTAGTAGACAGTAAAGATATTATTGAACTCCCAGCCTGAACACAGAGATTTTGTGCCTATTCAGTTACAAAATTCATCATGTTCCTGATAAGGAATTGTACATTGTTGATGCCTTATCAAGAGCCACATATGGCAAGGCACCAAAAGATCCAGATAGAATTTGAAGGAAGCTCAACAATGTTCATGCAAACCATTATGAACTTCTTACATACAAGAGATGGCTGATTGGTGGAGATATGAGTAGCAATAAGCAAAGATATTTTTGATTGCATAAATAATATGTCAAAATGGTTGATCTCAGCCAAGCCATATTGAACCAATTAGCAGAAGTAATTCCAACAAGATGTTTCCATGATCACTACAATCTTATCCTCTTTAAGACTAGCATTATCTTCCACTCCTATACACACAAAGGGCCTCCTAATGTAACCCTCTACCTCATGTGGTTCCTGGGCCTTGTAAAGAGTGGATCATACTGTAAAAAAAAAATGAAAGAAGATAACCTTTTATTTTATGCTGATGCATTTCATTCCTTGAGGAACTTTATCAAAGCAATTGGTTGAAAGTTTTATTAGGAAACCTATTAAAGCTATTTTTATGGAAATTTTTATTTGGAAACTAGGAAAAGGTATTGTTCAGAAAATAACATTGTATGTTCAAATTTGGATTAGAGAATGTTTGAAAATCTCTTGATGCTGTAGAAAGGAAACAAAAGTGAATGTTGTTATTATTATCACCATTTGTTTTTTTTTTATTAAAAAACAGGGCTAATCATTAATTTATTTTTTAAATTTAAAAAGGAAAACAGTTAATTTTTTAACAATTTTTTTATTTTTTAAAATTTGATAAAGAAAATTACAAAAATTGAGTATAGCAATGAGAATGTAAAGACGGGAAAATAGCCAAGAGATACAAGTGTGAAGCACATTTTTCATGAACCTGTATATAAGAAATTAATGCTTGTCTTCTAAGCAACTTATAGGTTTTAATTCCTCTTTATTTTCTACTTAATATGTTACTGATTTTATTGCCTTTTGTACTAAATTATAGGATGAACCTGAGATCCCTTTTACAGAGGAAGATTATCGTCGCAGGAAAAGTCATCCAAATTTTAAAGAACAACTAAGTGCAGAAAAAACAGTCATCAAGCTTGGAAAGGCGGTACATATTTTTAGCATTAACTAAAAATGTAGCATATTAAAGAAATACCAAAAATAGTTATTCTTTTAAAAAATGACAAAAATTATTACTAATATTATTTTATTTACAGTTTGATCAGTTTATTACCCCATAATGTTAAATGCATATGAAGTTTAGAAAAATGTGTTTTGGATATTTCATAAAAAGGTAGATTTTGCAAATAAATAAACAAAATTCAATATTGTTTTCATTTATCATAAATGTCTTTCAAGATGACTGTACTATTTGATTGTAGACGAAAAAGAAACTAAATACATATGTTGTAGCAAGTGGTCTTATATATGGAATAGGAGAAGATATTTTTCATGATTTATTCAAGGTAAGCATTTTTCTTTTGTGATAAATTACAGCATCATTATTAACATAAATCATATTTTAATTAATTTTTACAAGTTTCTGCTAAAACTGAGAAATATTTGAAATTTTTTTGTGTTTAATAAAAATAAAATCTAATTATAAAAATGTGCAAAAACTCCATTCAAATATTTAACCAAGTTTAATTTATACACTTCTATTTCCAAACAGTTATTTGGTATAATAAAAGTAGTTCCAACTGGGAAATTTGCCCACAGATTAACCTTAATCTTTCTATCACATAAGGTTTTATGAGTATATTTTTTTTATTAATTATTTCTACTAATTCTTTTTATAATTTTTTTATATTTTCATCTCATACTTCTTAACAAAGTATAAGATGAAAATATGAAACATATTCAATTAATGTGATTTTAGCAACATTTTGATAAATGATAAAACATTGTATGCTATGAAAATAACAAAAATAAGGACAATTTATTTTTTACATTAAATTAATTTTCTTTCGACTGCTTACTAATGAATAACTATGAAAATAAAATAATTAAATATGTAACATGTTTTTCACTATTATTCAATTAGCTTTACTCTATCATAAAAAAGTTTGTGTACTCAGTATTATGATAAAAAGCAAAATATGATAAAATAAAGTTCATAATAAAATCATATAAATAATGAAGCACAACAAATTATGCAGCACTAATTTCAATTAACCATATTACTTAAAACAATTATTTCATAATTTATCTTAAACAGTAAATTGATTAATGAGTTTTCAAACCTTATAAAAGTGGGTTGAAAGCATTAAATTGAATGTCAAAAACTTTAAATGTTGTAAATTTATTATTATGTAATATTACATATTGTGAATTTAAATTTGTGCATCAACATTTCTGCACAACATGGATTTTGCATGTTTTCCTTTTAATGATGACACTTATAGCCAACTTTTTGTCTTTCCCCTGTTCACCATGATATACTGCAGCATTTCCATTGAAATTTTGTCATTAAAACACCATGATTTTTGTATGCCCTCATGTACATTTCTTTTTTATTGTGAAATGTTCATCTGAAGATGAAGATAACATTGAATAATTCAGTTCAGAAAAATTTGCTGCTATTTTATGAAATGAACAAAATGAAATGTTTTCAAACTTCAAATGATAAAAGTTTATAAAAATGTAAAAACAGTCTTAATTGGCAATAATATAAATGACAGATGGCTGTAAAAAGACACTTGATTATTTATAGCCAATCTGTTAAATAATGCACTGACTGTTGTTTGTGCCACAAACTTCATGTTTTTCAGTATTTAATGAATGAATTACAATTTGAATTGTATTATGTTTATTTTTATATTTTGGAAAGAAAAATGACAATTTCTTGTGATTTTTAATTAAAATAAAATTTCCTACATTAAATCTTAGTTAAGAAAAAATATACATAGTTTTATAACTTTGGATTTTTTTTTAGAGAGCATGGCACAATGAATCACATCTGACATGTCTTGGAAATGGCACTAATATTGTACCAACAATTCATATCAAAGATCTTGCAGCGTATGTAAAAATGATTTTTAAAAATCTATAAATAATTTTAATATAGTTTTTGAGTTGGTTTCTGTTTGTTTAATTGCTTTAATAATATAATTAATGTTTTCTTTTCATCTTATTTTTGTTAATTTTTATTGGTCTGTTATACAGGTATGTCTTGCAATCAAAAGCAATTTAACAAGGCTAGTAAAAATGAATAAAGACATGCTTCATCTAAAAAATTAGACTATTACAACTATTACTTATATTAGGTATAGACAAGCAATACAATAAGATGAAAGAAAGACTAGTCAATCATTAGTGACAATGCCCACCTATTGCTTTAGTAGCAACTGGATTTTCAATAAGTTCTATAATTTAGAAGGTACATGGTAGAACAATAATTATAAAAAGGCATATTTTTAAAGAATTAATGGATCTATTTTTAATCTGACATTTTTATTACTTCAAATGTTATAATGGATATTTGAAGTAGACACTCCATTTTTATTTTATTAAACAGTATGTATTATGTTTATTGCCCTGAACATTCAAGAAATCTTAAGAAATTGTGCTCTTTAGCAGGAATTGAAATTGTGCCCCTCTTTTTAGGAGAAACCACACTGTTTCACTCTTCAGCTACAGAGTGCATCACAATCAAGCAATGTCCTATTTTCCCTTTTAAAATCAAATATTTTTCTCCAAAACCCATATCTCTTCTGTTTTGTATCTGTTGTAGAGTAAATAAGATACACCCTGTAACACATATGAACTAGGCAAGACATCTTAAATAAAGAACTCAAAGTGAGTCAGCAGAAGTTTGTTCGAATTAGTTGAGGAGAAAAAATATCATAGTGAGTAGCTTAAGTGAGACATGATATTATAACCACTAGGAGTGAGTTATAACAGTGGCGACAAGTAATCAAAGCTCATATGGAGGAGGAAAAAGTACTTTTTGCTTTGGCATACATAATGACAGTAACAATGAGAAATTAGGACCACATTAGTTTAATTTTTTTCTTTTGTGTGTGCAAAAATGAAAAAAAAGAAAAAAAAACAGATATTCTTTAAATATGGAAGAATTATTAGCCCAAGTGGTAAAATACAACAACAGCAACAACAACAGTTGTTGGAACTCCAGAAACAACAACAAAATTTAATTGAAATAATATGGAAGAAAACATAAAATTCCACAAGTTCTTTCATTCTTGAAGCAATGGCAAATGCCATAGCTGAATTCACATACAATTCAGATGATGGAATTACCTTTTCTGCTTTTATAAGGAAATTTTCAGAGAAGAATGCAGTTACTGGGAAGATGAGCAAAAAACAAGACTTTTGTTGAGAAAGTTAGCACTGGCAGAACATGAAAAATACTGTAATTTTGTTCTACCAAAAAAACAAAAATTTGCTTTGAAGAAACAGTAAATATTTTGATTAAAATTTTTAAGTTAGTAAAGTTTGTTATTCAATACTCATTGGAAGTGTATGAATTTGACAAAAAGGAAGACAAATATTGTTAACAAGAAATGTGAAAGATTCAAACTAAAAAAACTGTGTGAAAAGTGTTTTGTAAAAATACAAGAATACAGGTGCAAACTCAGTGAGGAAAAGTGCGAATTGTTTTTGCCTAAAATCTAATACCTAGGACAAATCATTGACAAAGATGGTCATCAGCTAGATCTGTCAAGAGCAAGTGCAATAAGAATATACCTCCTCTGACAAATGTTACTAGGTTACAAGCATTTCTGGGACTAGCAAACTATTATCAAATCTATATACCTAATACTAACATCAGACTTATTAGCACACTACAATCCAAAAGCAGAAATCATATTGGCTTTAGAAACTAGGGACTATGGTATAGGATCAGTAATTCTAGAAAATATGATGATGGTAACATGAAAGCCAACACATATGCTTTGCATTTGCTACTACCAACAAAAAAGAACTACAGTCAAATTGAAAAAGAGCCATTTTCATAAATTTATACACAGAAGGAGTTTTCATTTAAAGACAGACCACTGACTTCTATTACCAATTTATGGTTTGAAAAAAGAAATTCCTACGCATACAGTAAATAGATTACACTGCTTATTAAATTACGATTTCAGGATGAAATACCAACTGTCCAAAAAATTACAACATGCCTATGGCTTATCAAGATTGAACTACTGAACTGTTTGAGAACATTGTTATTGCAGCATTAAAAAGTGAAATAGAAATTAAAAATATATTATGTAATGTAGTACACAAACTACCAATTACCTTGGAAGAGATAAAAGTAAAGCAAAACAAGACATGTTTATTTTGAAAATAAAAAAATGACAAAAGAAGTAAGAAAGATAGACGATTTTTAGAATGCAATCCAAAGTTGAATGCTTACTTGCTATGTGACAAAGTACTGATTCTTGCACAAAGAGTAGGAATATCTATCATATTATAAAAGATATATTAAATAAATTTCATAATGGGCATCAAGGAATTTCAAGGATGAAATCTTTTAGGAAAAGCTATGTTTACTGGACCAAAATAGATCAAAACATTGAAAAATTAGTAAAAGCCTGCAGAGGTTGTGCTCTATCAGCAAAATTACCTAGAACTCAAAGTGAGTCAGCGGAAGTTTTACAATTACAATTACAAACTTGGCCAAAACAGATACTCCACGGTCAAGACTGCACATAGATTTGTACAGGTCCAATAAACAGATCACATTATCTTTCATGGTTAAAGTGAATTTTTTACACAAACTGTTTGCAAGGTATGGCATTCTGGATGCCATAGTCTCAGATAACAGTACACAATTCACTGCTTAGACATTTAAAGAATTTTGTAAATGTTCTTGATTGAGCATATTACTATCCTGCCAAGGTTAAACGGACAAGCTGAACGGTTTGTGGGTACTTTTAAGAGAGCTTTGAAAAAAGCAAGTAATGAAAAAGTGAGTAAAGAGGCACTAAAAAAATTCTTGAATGTACACTGGATAATACCAAATCCCAATACACCGACACATGTCACCGGCAGAATTGATGTTTGCTAGAAAAATTAAATTGGTGTTTGACAAGTTGTTACTAGGTCAAAAAAGAATAAGAATGGATAAAAAAAGGGTACAAATTTTTCAAAATTGGCAAAAAAATGGAAAAGAATTGTGGAAAGATAGTGTAATAAGGTCATGAATTGAAAAAAATATTATATATGGTAAAAGGAAAAAAATAGGAATACAAAATACATTGGAATCAGTTAAAGAAGAAGTTTACTGAAAAAAGGCCTGCAAGAAAGGAAGAACCTATAATATTTTTGATATACCAACACCCCAAGAATTCATTGAACATACAAGTATAATTATCAGAAAAAGGAAGTGTGCAGAAGAAACTAGAGGTTGACCCAAAAATGAAAGAAATTCAAAGTTCAGCATGTGGCAAACTTGTCAGAAAGAGGAGGAGGTGAATAAATAAAATAAAATATTTACTAGTGAAAAAAAATTTCAAAAACGGGGATGTTGTGGAGTAAATAAGACACACTCAGTAACACAAATGAAGTCGGCAAGATACCTTAAATAAAGAACTTAAAATGAATCAATGGTTTTGGAGTTAGTCAAAGAGAAAGAATGGATGATGTTATGGCAAGTAGACTAAGTGAAACATAATATTATAACCACTATGAGTGAGTTATAATAGTATCTGAAATGTAAACAAAGCAATTTTTAAAGGATTAATGAATTAATTTTTAATCTGACATTTTCATTACTTCAAATGCTATTATAGTGGATATTCATATTTGAAGTAAATTCTCCTTTTTTATTTTATTTACAGTGTGTATTATGTTTATCAGACTGTGCATTCAAGAAATCTTAATGAAGAAAATCTGTTCTTTGGCAGTGATCAAACCTGTGTTTCCCTTTGTAGGAGAAACCATTGTTTAACTCATCATGATTTACCACTCAGCTACAGACAGTAAGGAAAATAAAGTTCAATTTTCCTTTTTAAAGAAAGCACACTTTCTCATTCAGATATTTTAGATATACTAGAGCCTTGCTAGACTGTGACACTTTATAGCTGAACGGTAAAGCATACAAAATCAAATGGTTTCTCCTACAAAGGGTGATGCAAGTTTGATCCCTGCAGGAGAGCAGATTTTCTTTATTAAAATTTCTCAAATGTGTGGCTGATAGATATAATACACACTGTATACATAAAAAGTGTCCACTATAATGTTTGAAGTAATAAAAGCTGGCATATGTAAATGATTTGACTGTCTGATGTTGCTGTTGAAATACATTACTCCATGTCACCCTGTAATATGTCACATCAGATTTAGGATTCTTCCCTCTTATTAACTTTCATGTTATTTGGAAATGATAAGAGTGTTAAGTAAATTCTTTTGCTCTCAAAAAAGGACTCAGTATTCACCTCTCATGATGTAGATCATCAAACCCACTGAAGTAATTGCTTCAGTCTGGAGATAAAATGGTGAATGCAGTTTAGTATTCTAACAATCTCTTAGATCTTGAAACCAATGAGTTTAAATGTAAAATTAAATGTAAACACTATTAGACATTATTTTGCATGTTATATTTTTATATTAGTATTATATTTACTATTTTATGCTATATTATTCAACAGTATTGTTAATGTATTCTATTATATAGTATTCAGTAGTATTTTTCTCTTTGTACAAATAATTTTCATAAGAAAATGCAAATTAGAATTTTCTAATGTAAGTTATTCAATGCTTCTATCTCTCACATTTTAAAATAATTTAAAAGAATCCATAAATTTATTTGTTCTCAAATGCATTTGTTTCATTCATTGCATCTTTGTGAACATGATCTAAATTTATTTTTATATTGACTTGTCTATATCTCATAAATTCATGAACACATGTTTATGAATTTATGAGATCTATAAACTATGATTGAAACAGGATGTATTTGAGATTATAATGTAATTTATAATTATAAGCTTATAATGTAAGCTTATAATGTAATTTTTGTTGTTTCAGCATCATCCAAAACATTGCAGACTCTGCACCAACTGTAAAATATATCATTGCAAAAGATGATTCAATGAATACGTTACAAGAAATTGTTAAAGTAAGAATGTTTTTTATAAAGTGAATTTTATTTTTTCTGTCAGAAATTATTGCTGAGTAAAAAGAAATCTATTTTCAGTAATAAAGAGTTGCAATGACATATAGCCAAATTCTTTCTTTATTTCTATTTTAAGCATAAATTATGCTAAGAGTTTAATGGATAGTAGTATTACTGCTATTTTTATATATATATATATGTAATGTAATTGTCATCTTTGATAATGGCTTATGTAAGACAAAAGCTTAGATAGGATTAAAAAATATGCATCAATATATATATAATATATATATATATATATATATATATATATATATATATTGTGTGTATTTAGGCAGCATTTTTTCATTCATACATGTTTCATTAAATAATATAGACAAGTGTTGTCTATTTATTTTATGTAAATTCTTTTCATAACGTTTGATAAGCTTAATAACATTATCATTAAACGAAGAAAGAAAATCACAATATTGATCCAAATTTTTTAATCCAATCTAAGCTTTCAGCTTACATAAGCCATTAACAAAGATGTCAATTACTGTACAATATATTAAGCAATATACAGACAAGTCAGTGATGATAGTCTGTTATTGTTTACATGGATGATTTCCAAGCAACGATAAACATGTGCATATAAGACGCTAGAAGCGAAAATTGCACTGCAGCTCATGACATCACACATGACCACATGAGAGTGAATCCGAGAAGTATTAAGTATGGGAAGCCGTTGGTATAAACCAATGGCTTCTCTTACCAATTATAGACATTTAAGGATATTTGTAGAGATTCCATAGTTGATTTTGTTTAGGTTAGGTTTCAACTGTTTGATGTATATAGCTTCAAGGATTTTTAGCAAAAAACTTGACCACATACTCCATGATCACATAAAGTTTAAAAAACTTAACAAGAACCCGACCAAACAACTAAAATCAAAGCTTAATAAACTTATTAATGCTAATAATGCTGAACAGAACTCTTTAAAACTGCTTAAAATTGTTGGTGATTATAGACCTGGCTACATATACGGCAATATAAAAACACATAAACCTAACTATCCTCTACGTCCTATCATATCGCAAATTCCAACTCCTGTATATCATCTAACAAAATACATTAACCAAATTATTACTCCCTACCTTCCTAGTAAATATAGTGTTAAGTCAACATTAGAAGTAATCCAAATCCTAAAAAGTGAAAAACCCAACAATGAAATCATGGCTTCACTTGATGTTGAAAACTTATTTACCAATGTTCCTGTTAGTGAAACTATTGACATAATTATAAGAAATATATACAGTAACTCATCTTTAACCCCACTTAAAATTAATCCTAATATATTATGGAAACTACTATTAGCTTGTACTACTGAAGTCCCTTTCTTCAATCATAATAATAATATATATACAATGTGATGGTGTCTTCATGGGTTCAGTACTGGGTCCGACATTTAGCAATTTCTACATGTCGAACCTCGAAAATAAGATATTTACAGATTTTAAAAATCCAACCATCTACCTCAGATATGTTGATGATAGATCTTAGAAAGCATTTGTATACAGCTGCCAGTTTAGATATTTCTGAATGAGTTTGGTACCATGCATGACATCCATATGAAAGTCTCAATCTGATGAGGCTATTTAAGAATATGACTTGATTAAATTTAAGCATTTTTTAAGATTTCCATTTTGAACACAAAATTATTATAAATCCCAGATGTACATAAAATATATGAATATATTCTTTTCAAGTAAGAATTTTAAATTTTTTGTGTTTTTTTAAAAAAATAAATTGATTTAATATATCTTTTACAAAATCTAAAGCAAAAAACATAGTTAAAATTCAGTATGAAAACTTAATATTCTAACCCATCTGAAATACAAATCTGAAAACTAGCCTAACCATATCTATTATTAATGAAGAAAGAGAATTTATCTCTTATTATCTCTTATTGTATCTATATTGACATTTTACTAAATTTTACTTCTATTTCTTATAGAACATAAGTCAAATGATGACAACTGGAAAAGTTGTTAATGTAAAATCGGAAGAATCTCTTCTTGACAAGTTACTTACAGTAAGTTTATTTTTCCTTTTCATTAAAACAGCCATATAGATTATTTATATAATCAAATTTTTTCTTACAAAAGTTTTTCAGAATTTTTCTGAAAATTGCAAAAAATAAATGTAGTGGAATTTTTTATAATTTGAAACTGACTAAATTTTTGATTGCTAATTGTTAAAATTACTTGAAATATTAAAGTCACTCAATAAAAGAAAGTGACCATGTATTATGGTTAAAGAACTTTAAATTTAAGATTGTAAAAAATTAATGTTTTTGTTACAAGTGAGTTGAACTTAAAAAGTTAAACATATTTTTCATTATAGCAACTTGATTTCGATATGCTTCAAGTTGATCTGTTAATGGATGCAGTATTCATAAAGGACAATATGAAAATAAATTGGGTTGCAGAGACTGGCCTTGTGGAAAATATATCTGAAATTGTAAAGGAATACAAAATTCATCGGAAGTTACTGGTATGTACACAATAAATATTAGAATTTAACAAACTACTCAGTTAATGTTTTTATAAATTAATTATTTTCAAGTTTTTAAGTGTTTTCAAATTGTCTATTATTATCCTATCTAGCATTTAAAAACAAAATTATATTTTGATACAATGACTATTTTGATATAAGTTTCTTGATTTGTTCATCTTTACAATAAAGAATAAATACTTTTCTTATTATGTTGAGATATTTTTGTTTCAAATAGTTTGAAAATGCTTTTAACATATGAGATTTCAGTATAGATTATTTAAGTTTTTACATCTTCAATTATTTTTGTAAATGGATAAGTTTTTGGTTTCATTAAAATGAGACCAGCTTAGAAGGAAATCTAATGATTAAACTATTTTTATTCAAAGAAAAATTCAGTTTTTAGCAATTATTTATTTATTAATGAAATTAGAAAGAATCCTTATCAGATGATAAATATATGTAGATAGAAAATGTTTACTCATAAGGATTAAATGGAAGTCAGTAGGAAATAACATAATAAAAAATTTTCATTTGATTTTAAAAATGGCAAAAGCTAAATTTTTAGTGAAAACAAAAGAAAGCCTTAATATTTATATTAATTTTCATAAGCCTTAATATTTATATTAATTTTCAAATTGTATTACTTTGGTTATAATTAATTTTTCACAATTATTTCCTTATGCAGAAATTTGTTTCAAGTAAAAGTGAAAATTACTTTTTTTATTGTTATTTTTTGAATTATTAACTTTTAAAACCTGACCTTTTCTTTCAGCCAATCTGATGTTGTATTCTTTTCATTCTTTATCAGTTGGTACTTTATTCTTTTATAGTTAATATTCAAAAAAATACATTTTTAAATCACACATTTGGTTGCTGTATTTGCTGGCCTATTAGACACACGTACACATTGGACACACCCAAATTTTGGCATGGAATATTTAGGAAAAAAAGAATGAACACATCACAACAAAAAATCAAAATTATAACCTTAACTTTATGTGACATTCTCAATAAATATAAAGAAACACTTACAGTATTAGCACAAATTATACTACTGGTACTTTTTAATAGAATTGAGGTAAGATTTAATTACCAGGACATTTTTTGGAAAAAGAATTTTAGTACATTTCATCATGCATTTACTGAAAATTGTTTTAGTTGTATTTCAGGGAGCAACATCTGTACATACAGAAATAGTAATAATAGCTACAAAGAAATTGACTGGTATCAGTGAACACTGGTATATATGGTAATAGGTAAAAAAACAGAAATATGGTACTTGTTGGTAAATGATATCCCATAGGATACATGCAGAAAAGCAAATTCCAATACCTATATGCCAGTCAAAGCAAATATTTGTGTAAAATCTGGTATTTCTACAAACAAGCAGTGCAATTCCATAAATTTCTTAATTTCTTTTTCCTGGGTGAATTTTTCAGGGATATTTTTATTGATATCATGTTTGGTCCCTTCCAGGAGTTCTAGTTTCAGATCTAGGTTTTATGCATACACTGATTCTTGGTGAATCCCACTTTTTTGTGGTCTTCATGTCCCTCTCATACATAATACAGCTGTATTGGATGCAGGGTAATTTTTTGAGAAAAATATGCATCCACTATGCCGGTAAATACAGTAAATTGATTGTAATCTTTTATACTTTCAGCCTTTACGTGTTTGTGTTTTGGGTCCTCCTGGTGTTGGGAAATCAACTGTTGTGGAGCAGTTGTGTCATCATTACAAATTGCATCATGTTAAAGTTAAAGATGTCATTGATGAATATATCCAAAGCTTGGTTAGTATAAAAATAATAAATTCATTTTTGTGCTCATTTTTGTGCTATTTTTATATTTGTCTTACTTTTTAAATATTTTCATTGAGCTCTCTTATGTAATTATTACAAAGATGTTTGTTATATTAATTATAAAAGGGATATAGACAAGTATTTATTTATTTTCTTAATCATTATTATTAAAGAGAGAGGCCAATGAAAGAAAAGTAACTACGGAGGCAGAAAATGACAGATGATATTGCATTTAAATTTTTGAAGATCAAAGTTAACTGGAAATGAAGAAGCCAAAAGAGTTCCACAAATGAGAAGTGTGAAAGAAGAAACTGCTAGCATAAAATTTATGGTTGCATCTAGCAATTTCAACAGTAAAATACCTAGTTGTCAATCTAGTACTGCACTTAAGTTCGTAAAGCTGATTTACTGTTGAATATAAACTATTATTTCTCTTATATAATAAAATAAAACGATTGACATTTTTAGATAATTATATTATTTTAATATTTTTCTGTAAGATATTATTCTACCAAATCCATACAATATTTACAAGTACTTACCATACAACATAATAGCTTATATAGTCACTTATTTATTAACAAATTTTTCTAGTTCTTTTCTTTTTCTATATGATGTGTCCCTTCAGGACATTAGTGATTATATCTCCATAATTTCCTGTCCTTTGTAGGTCGTAATAAATTTTTTGTTATCTCTTATAAAGCCTGTTCTGCCATTCATTTTAAGTTCACTAGGTCTTTCTTGCCTTCAGACTGTTCTGTGAGTGTCAAATTTTTCAAACCCACTTTCCTCATTATGTGACCTAGAAATTTCAACTATCTCTTTCTGATGTTAAGTAAAATTGTTCTTTTTGTTTCCATTTTCTCTAAAACTAAATTTTGTTGTGGCTCACATGTTCAGTCCATGGTATTCTTAGTATCCTTATGTGGAGTGACATTTCTGTTGCTTCAAGTATCCTCTTCATCTGTAAGGAGATTGTACAGCATTCACTACTTTATAGGAGATATTAGATAACAGTTCAGTACTCTTTTTCTTGTTTCTAATGAAATTTCCCTGTTTCTTAATACTTTGCTTAGCTTTTGGAAAGCATCTTTCACTATCCTAATGCACATTTTACTTTCAGTGTCGCTTTTTCTGTCTACTGTTAAAACATTTCCAAGATATTCAAATTGTTGTACTTGTTTGATATTGGTATCTCCAATTTGTAATTTGAATGTTGGGCTGTTCCTTTTGCCAACAACTATGCATTCTGTCTTCTTGCAATTGAGGTTTAATCTTTTTTCTTGATTTCCTTAACTATCTTCTGTAGGGATTCTTGTAGTTACTTTCTGTGTTTGCTATCAGTACTGTATCATCTACATATTTTATGGTAGGAACTTTAATTCTCTGAGAATTACATCCTTGTCTTGCATCTTTTTCTGTTTTCATATATTTTTGAATTCATTTTGTATCTGGACCCAATCATTTTACCAAGGATTGTGAACATTGACACATGGAGGTACCCAGCAGTTTGGAGCAAAAGGCATGCACTGATGTACAAGGCTTTTGATGCCATGAAGTCAGCCTTATTGAATCAAAGTGTCCAAGAAAATGTTTTGTCCACTCGCAAATCACAAAAGTGGTGCTCCCTGTGATTGAATTACTTATTGATGGAGTAAGATATATCCCCCTCAGATGCAACTGCCAATATGATACACCACTACCAAGTCCAGCTGAGAGGCATTGACATGACAATATCACCTGCACGAGATAAAGGGCAAGCACTGTACCACTTGGGAGATCCTATGAGTAAAATTCCTACACAAGTAATGTACAATGCAATATCAAATAAGGACACAGCACTGAAATCAAAAGCTCACACAATATTCTTATTGATGGAATACCATGCCATGTGAAGTATTTGCACCCCTTTGTGGGTTCTGGTACATCAGCAGTGCTTCCTCAGACAGTAAAAGTCACCATTAGAAGTGCATCTGGTTTATCCTCAGAAGTTGACAACTCAGAGCCTGATAACTCATGAGACAACTCATTTGGAGAAGAGAGAGTGATTGTCCCACTAAGAAGCACAAAAGATGCCTGTTTCAGGTTGTCACATGTATGATCATGTGATCAAGTGGATAGTGTGTTGAATGAATTGGAGTTCTTTCTGTCAAAAAAGGAAATCAGAATTGGGTTAAGTTTAGTAGACCTGGTAATTGTTTGTGCTTCCCTACTAGTCTTGAGAAATCACAACTTTTCTTACACCAATACAAGAACACTACTTTGGCTCTTGGTTGGTGAAGGAAGTAGTTATGTGTTGCAAGTTGTCGATATGAATTTTTGACCGCCTTTTGATTATTTTCTGATGCTGGACTTGTGACTCATTTATGACCTTTGGAATTATGCCCCAGGACTTATTTTTAATCTAAACCCTCCATTACTATTTTACACAGATACATGAAGCAAGCAAACTAAACTACCATTAACTGCATGAAAAATGGATCTTCATTCAAAGTGTATACTATGTGGTGGTATTAGAAGGGGAGCTTCTTTAAGCTCCTTTCAGAGAACTAAATTATTGATTTGAACAATTAGACCAACTGAAGGTAATAATTGACAAAAAAACACAACAAATTACTTATGTGAAAGGATGTAAAATTCAATCAGAATAATGCTTGACCACAGGTTTCTTTAGTTACCAGAAAATAATTGTTACAGTTCAGATTGGAAGTTTTCACTTATGGCTGTATTCACTAGATAATTGCATCTTCAGATTTATTACTGGTTTTCAGTTATAAAGTTGCCTGAAAGATGGCAGAATGTAGTGGAACAAAGTGGTAAATATGTTGCTCAATAAAATTATTTTTTGTTATTTTTATTTTTACTTAACACTCTAAATTGGGCTAATCCATTATTATCTATTATTTATTCATTATAATGAATAATATTTACATTCAATAAATTTAATTTGTTCATTGCATAATAGATGCATCTGAATATTTGGGATTGTAAGAGAAGTTAATTTAAAGAATATGAAATAATGATAGAATATTTATTTCTATGTCAGATTGAACTGGAACAACATGCAAACAGTATAAATGAGCAATCAGAAGAACAAGAAATTGATGAAGAGGAAGAATTAAGGATACAAGATGCAGTTGCCAAACTTGAGGAAATCAATGAATGCAGAGAACAAAATAATCAGCGATTAGATGATAACTTACTGATCATGATGATGAAAGAAAAACTCTTATCAAAACCATGTCAGAACCAAGGTTTCATCTTAGATGGTTTCCCCAAAACTTTTGAACAATCAAAACTGTTTGAAGGTAAGTCATAGTTGTTATTTACTATAGTTCCATAACTTTATTCATATAGCAATTACTCAATGAGTTATGTGAACTAGTATCATCATCTTTGTTATACCTAATAGGTCTCAGCTGATATATCCTAGTTTTGTTTAAAATTCTGAGAAATCAGTAAGAATGGGAGACTTGTCATGGATGCTTAGTAAGCTAGTCCTGCTGAAACATTACTTTCTTGCCTGGATACTTTCCTAATTTTAACTAGATTAAACTAAACAAATATTGATAAATCAGCAAGAATGGTTATACTGCCTAACTTCATGAAACAAATATTTAATTAAATCACTTTTATAGTGATTTACTAAACAAAGCTTAGATGTAGCCCAAAGCTGAAAGTATGGCACACTCACTGAGGATCACACTCACTATTCAGTCATAACTAATCTAGAGACAAGCTTGCTAACCATTACACCACGTCAAAATGCCCAAATCTCTTTTATAGATTATCTAGGAGTAAATGTCTGTTCTGAAAAGTAGGCAAGATCCAGTTTGCTTTTCATATTTTAAGAAATGTTCTAATTAGAATATTTATTTCTGGATTTTTTTATTTATATTTATTACAGTCAATTTATGCTAGTTTTAATTAGAATTAATCAGAAAAAAATCAACCAAGATTGAAAATAAATTCAGTAATCCATTAAAATCTTTCTAAATCAAATCAATTCATTGATGAGAATTTATTACTTGGCATTATTCTCATTTCCATGCCAGTAGTATGTTCATTCCTTACTATATGCTCCATGAATTTGGTTTTAGGATTTCATCAGAGTAAGTTTATGTTTATATTGATGCAACTACAGATGCAATGAATGAAAAAGAATTTAAAATATTTTTTTTAATGAAACAAGTTTTAGATTCCTTTCTTTTTGTTTATGTTTCCAACAATTAAAGAACTTTCTATATATTCTTGTTATATTTTTTATGTATATATATATATATATATATATATATATATATATATATAAAATATACACACTCATATATATATATATATATATATATATATGCACACACATATATATATATATACACAAACATATACATACATACATATATATATATATATATATGTGTGTGTGTATGTATGTATATATATATATATATATATTCAAACAGGCTTGGTTAAATAACTTAGATATACTATGTCTGTTTATTTTTGTTTTAATCCTTTTGAGTCCACGAATCAATATCTTAGTAGCCATACAAAATTGATTAAGAAAAATACCCAAATTTTCTTTCAAATAATTTTTATTTTCCCAAGTACTTTCAGTCTCATTTGTGACCATCTTCAGACCATCTTCAGACAGTTAAGTTGTTTGTGTATGTACATATGTATTTCTATAAATTCAAAATATTCATTTGACTGTATTTTTTCTTGTTCTATATCAATTTTAAGAACTTAACCAAAACAGTTTGAACAAAATATGCTGCCTAAACACACACACACACATATATATATATACATATCAGGGGCGGAGATGGGACTAGTGCTACTCGTGCCCGGCACGACCAATAACTCGGTCAATGTTATTCAAAATGGATTAAAAATCATCCATTAATTTCAAGCAAACATACTTAGGCTGATCTCAATTAAATTACGTATCTATTCAAGTTTCGATAACTAAGTAGCCAAAAGTTCATAAATATATCTGGGAATAATACAACGATGCTGTTTTTTGAACGGATGGCCACCGTCAGATCTATTGAACATCCCATAATATCGGCTATAATGTTGAACACGCATAATCCGTGCCAAGCACAAGAAAAGCTTATAATAATAAGTAATGTTAGAGAAATCTCGCTTTTGGCTGTAGCCAATGGTGGCAAAATCAAGTCGAAATACCGTGCTCAGAACAATTAGCACATTGTGACTGCTGATGATTGTCTTGGAAAGAGAGAGAGAGACCGAGAGAAAAGAGATAGAGTAGTAGTAGTAGTAGTACGAATAGATGTTTGTAAACATAACCACGTTTATTTATATTGTAAATATCAGTGATGAAGTTATTGTTTCATTAATTAATTAATAAAGAACAGGTTTTGAATAAGAGTGAATTTGTTTTTTTTTTTATTGAGGAATGTTTTTTTTCGTGAATTTTGAATCATAGAAATCTACGAAAAATACTATTAATATAAAATAATAATATTAATATAAAATGACATACAAACCGTATTTTTCGTAGATTTCTATGATTCAAAATTCACGAATAAACCATTCCTTAATAAAAAAAACGATTGTGAAGTGCTAATAAAAAATCAATCATTTAATTATTTTATAATTCCATGAGACAAATGACCTGGAGAGTTGTGGACTTAATTGCTAACCTGGTTAGTTGTCATTGTCATCAATTTTTTTCTAATAAAGATATTTTTCTCGTCATAGTAATGAACATCTTCTCTTTTCTTCTATACTTTTGAAAGGAAAAAAAAACTTATCTACTGTATTAACAAGACTACAAATTATATAGTATCTTGATTGTTTACAAAAAAACCACCATGCAAGGTATGTTAGTCAATCTGTGCTATACAATGGAGAATCACGCAATAGCAACTATGATGACTTACTTTGGGTCCACGGACCACGGGTTGGGAACTGAAGTTGACAGAGGGGGGGCACGAGTAGCAAAAATAGGCTAGAGTCGCCACTGATACATATATACACACAAAAAAGAAAGACAGAGAGAGAGAGAGAGAATATAAAAAAGTAATAAAGAGTGAATATAAACTGAAAAACAAATGATGAGAAGCCGAAATAACCATGACATTCTACCTGTGTAAGCATATACATGCATGAGTGTGCCTGTGCACAATGAAAAGAAAAGTCAACCTTTCACCAATGAAAAGTGCAAATGAGAAATATAAACTATCAATTGTTAATATTCCCTGACAAGTGGCTGGAGTGATTTCTGGAGTGTCTATGAAACTATGGAGTCCGGATAACATCAGTCAGCTAAGTGGCAAATTTCATTTGCATTAAATTATATATATATATATATATATATATATATATATATATATATATAAAGGTATTTAATCATCCACAATCTAAAAGAACCCATAAGGTTGATAAAACGATCATCCTTCATGAATATATCACTATGAGAGAAGCACTCTATATAAAACATCTGCCACCCAGTATTATTTTATTTAACAACAGAAACAATATTTGTCTATATTTCTGAGGTATTATTTACATTATTGGTATTATTATTACATTATTGTCCTCATCTTTGTTGCCATATTTATTACAACGTTTCGGCCGTTGTACGCTCTGGCCGTCTTCAGGTGGTTGGAATGTCGAACTTAACTGGGGTAGACTGTTCTAGTTCCATGTGCCATGTTTAATGGATGTCAGTTATCAGTTATCTCCTGAAAGTTCTCCACTGCCTTAACTGGGTATTGAACTCACACTCCTGTCACTGGATCTAACCAACACCTTTATCCACTGTGCCATGTGTCCTTGAAGACATCTGTGCATGAATTTCTGGGTATTATAAACCTAATGTCTTCAGCAACCATTTTTACTAGTGCTCATATTGCAACTTTTTTGCTGATATCATTTCATGTTTTTACCAGAGCTCATATTGCAACTTTTGTTGTTATTATCGCTTTTCTATGGCACTCCTTATTACTGGGTCCCATATTGTATTCATTTCTATTCTTGGTCGGCTCAGGAGATTTTTGTGGCCTAGCATATACACAGTCTTTAGTCATGTTTTCCTCTATGAGGGGTGTTACCTGGGAGAGATATCTGTGAAGTGGCGTCAAGCTTTTGAAGGTTGTCTTGATGTTATATGGACCGCAAATCCTTTGTATTTTCTCTGATAACCCCTTCACATAAGGCAGGCAGACTGTTTTCTGAGTTGTTGTCCTGCTCTTGTACCCGCCTATCCCAGTTTTTGGGGGCTGCTGCCATGTACCCAGGGTAGTTGTTATGTTGTAGGGTACTACTTATACTGACCAATTCTTTATCTAATGTCACTGGGTTGCCACTTATGACTTTTGATCTATTGAAGTTCTCTCATTATGTAGGATTTGTTCATGAGAGGGGTTGTCAGAAATTAGCTATTAAGCTAAAAAATAAACTGATATTTTTAAGACACAAGAGATATAGTTGCATGGTGGAACCAAATGTGAAGGATATTATTTTTAATTATTCTTCCAATGTATTGTCTGAGCTATAATCTGCTGTTCTTGCTCATGGCATAGATTTTTGTGTACCACTCATCATGCCAGGCAAAGAGAAGATCTCTTCTGAGTTTGAGGTATTGTTTTCACAACTTAAAAAACTTGTCCCTGTTTCCTCAGATGCTTTTGGTGACCTTAGAGCCAAATTAAATAATTATGCTCACTTGTTTTCTAATACTCCTGTTGCTACTTCTGAATCAAACTGGAGAATTGAGCACAGATGTTTTATCAGATCTCTAAAGGCAAACTGTGATTTGGTGATTTCTAAGGGGGTGGGTCTTCATAGACTACACTGACTATGTTACTATGATGTTATCAATATGAAATGATACATAAAAATTTATAAAATTAGGCTAAGTTGAACAATATGATGCAACCACTTCAATAGAAATAAAATTCCAGAAACAACTATTGAAGTGGGATTCTTTCTCCTGAAATTTGAGGAAATTAGACCCTCTGGCTCTATTAGACCCTGCCTTCATGGTCTTCCAAAAATCCATAAGATGGGAGTATCTTTAAGACCTATATTATAAATGATAGGGTCATCACAACATAAGGTGGCCAAATGGCTTGCTAAAGTGCTGCAACCTGTTTTGCAGCACTATAGCACATTTGCTATAAAGGATTCATTTTCCTTTGTTGAGCTTATTAAAAGTTGTCCCTCTTCTGGCAAGTTGATGTGTTCATATGATGTGTGCTCCTTATTTACTTGTGTTCCCCTCATGGAAACAATTAATGTCTACTGTGATTTTCTTTATCACAGTTCTTTGTCCCCTCCA